TATCTGGAAGGTGTCAGGCAGTATGACTATTGGTTGAGCACATCGTTAGGCTTCAGGTTCCTCTGTGCTTCGCTTCATACTGCTGATTGCGATGTCTCATTTAGATGTTGCTCCCTATCTTTACGACCCTTGTGTATATTCTTCCCCACAATCCATTGATTGTCCTAGCCAATTAGCACGGACGCAGACGTCAATGGAACGAATGTGAGTTAGTCATATCTCGACTCGTCTCATTTTGTCTCCGTTAGTCTAGTCTCACAAGGATGTTGGATACATATCCAATGGAACAGTTGAGGGTAAAAGAACGAGCGGAAGAGACTGCAGCTACTTGAGTATGGCGTGGATTGCCATAATAGGCCGAAGTGGCGACGAAATGGAACAGCTGCTTCTGCTGATGCTCCGTCAGCACCCTGACATAAACAGTGGAGGCGGATGCTACCGACCGCTGAATGCTGCTACTTGCAGCATGAGTAACCACCTTGCTCAACGCATTAAGCATGTTGGCACGATATGTAAGCGCCTCCATTAATCCGTGTTCCCTTCACAAGCCGTTGCAGCCCTATCGGCATCGACTTTGTCTTCCGACTCCACGCAATACAACGTGTGCTCTGCGTGCACTTCCAGCCAAGCCTCCAGGTGCCGTCGTTTTGGTGCCTTCTCTCCGTGGATCACATTCTCATTGACCGCAGCAATGACAGGAGCACTGGTCACCTAGGCAGACGAACTCGGTGGTGGAAGCGACATCGTAGTGTCCCTTTTCACTGGCAACATGGCTGCCCAGTGCATTAGCAGTTTTCAGTCGCACACTAATTGAAGGAAAGAAAGGAAGAAGAGAAGAGATGGGATGATGGTGAAGGCGAACGTGAACGAGCATATGCAAGCCAACGCGATCCTCCTCTCGAAGCAGTGGAAAGTATTTTCAGCACTTTGTGAAAGAATAGGTAATTAAGGTGCCGATGGCAAAGACCCCTTATCTCCTACGCAATCCTCACAAGTGTGTCAAGTGTTCTGCCACCTATCACCTAGATGCATGAAAATCTACTTCTCCATTCATTCCATGACGACTCTTTGCGATGCGATGGAGGCAGTCTCACATTCCTTGCGTGCCGAGTAGTGCGTTTGCAATCAGTCAGAGCAATTCCAGCTTCACACTCAACCAAATGACCTGTGAACCTCTCGTCGTGAACAAATGCAGCAAAAGTAGTCGTCTTCCTCAGACCGTGCATATCCTGCCCACTCTTCACCCACCTCCTCAATTCTATCCTTTTCACACAGCGCTGCATGTGTGAGCAGGTATCACAAAGTGACGCCGATTACATGTCACGCAACTGACATGTCACTTATAACTCAATTATCAAGGCGTTACATTAAGCAGAAAGACAGCCTTACCAACCTTGCATGTCGTGGCATTAGAGGCCTGCATTCTCTCAATTCGGTGTCTGGTGGACCATTCATTCAATGTCGATGTTGGTGTCGGTGTCTGCGTAGATTTGCTCCGAGTGCAGCTACTCGGGCCCTCAATCGTCTCCATCTCACACGACTCCTTCCACGGGATTCCGTCACATTCCCATCCTCCCAATTCTCCTCGTACACCTCCTCCTCCTTCACCTCTTTCTCCATTCTGCCATTCTCCTCCTTCATCAAACAGCACTTTGCCTTACTACCCCTCTTCCTCTTGTCGGCCTCACTCTTCCTTGCCTTATTCACGCCCCCACCTTCCCACCCGCATCCATCAGGAATTTCTTCTATTCCATAGCTCGTGTCAGCGGCTGCTCCTCCTGTTTCTTCCCCTACTAAGGTTTGTAACCGTAACGTCCACATTGAACGACTTCTATGCGCGAAGAAATTGAGTATTCGCTGCAATCTGATAAACTCCGCATCAGATGTTTCCGCAGAGTCCTCTTCTTCTTCTTCCACATAATCATCGGTCTGAACTGCCTTGTGACATCCTCTATTTTGGCAATCTACATGTTCTTGATGTTAGAAATGCATTCCTTCAACCTGAATAACAGCACCTACTCTTCATCAAAACAAATGCAATGTCTGTCACCGTCCAGATGACACAACAAACGCGAAGGTCAAATTCACGCAATTGATTAAACAAAATGAGTACTGCGTAAACCAAGAGAAAAAGTGCAGGATAGCAGACGACGTCCTTCAGCATTTCAAATGTGAGCACGACTTTGTGACCGAATCGCGACTTGGTGTGCATCGATTGCTTCGCCGTTTGAAAATCACCAACCTGTGATTGACAGCTGATTTTCAAATCGCTAGTGCAATTTATACAAGATATTGTGCGCCTATTATCTTCCACAAATTATGCGACACAGAGCAGGCCTCCGATGCGTGTTTCCTGCTTTTATCCTCTTATATCTCCTTTGCACACTTAAGTGGCATTGAGATTGAAATCTCGAAAATAACTCCGTTGATAGCTCTCAAATTCACACAGTGCATCTCAGCAAATGTTAACTCCCCATCTAATGTGAACTTATTCGATGTTGTCTAAATTACACGGCAGCAGAAATCTTTTAACATGTCAAAATCTAATTTATTTATTCCCTCTCCTCCTTCCTCTCCCTTCCCCTCGTCAATGGACCTCTCTACATCTGCTGGACTGGAAGTCAAACATTGGAACAAATATGTGCACCAGCATATCACCAATAAAGGTCACGGAACTCACTTTTTGCTTCAATGATATTAGTGTCCCATTGTTTGTGATTACCGTATTTAGAGTGGATCACCGTCTTTGGTATAAAAAGGGGAATGCAGCGATTAATTTCCAGCAATTTTATTTGTGAATACCTCACGTATCGAGTATTAAGAAGGATTTAAGCTTATGTCCAACCCATTTAAGTACTGAGCTACAGCTCATGCATCAGCTAGCAATCCACTGTGTTTGATGCTTACATATCATAAAATAAGCCTGCTAACCGATATTTTCTTATCAAACACGGAAGTAGCATTCCACAATGTTTTAGAGAATGCACTTTGACGCAAGGAAGGATTAGACAAACTTGCAACCCCTCCTTGGCAAACACAGTGTGACTAATATCTACCACAAAGGGGACCTAGTACTGCTCTAGAGGCTGTATACCACAAATCCCATCATCCATAGGGCAAATACACAATCTGAGTGCTGAACGTCATCTCACCAACAAAGTGCTTCGGCTACATTGCACAACTCCATCCTCAAATAATCACCGTGCATCATATTAAAATGTGGCCTCGCAAAATATACCGCCTGTTGGATATGAAGATGTAGATTGTGCACTAACTAAAGTAACGTGTACAGACTGATCTTGAGGATAGCATTGGAGGTAGTGTTCGACAAGACGAAGAGACTTTGCAATTCATGTCTGTTCAAATGGACAATTTAGGCAAAAAGCCCTAATTAGATTTGGATTTCGTTACGAATTGACCGTCATCTGCCCTCGAGGAGGGCGTGTACTCTGAACAGACATAATCTTGTTCACTGTGTCCCATTTACAATGCCATTAATCATGAACGCCACTGTCTATCAATTCTACACGTTTGAAAGGATTAGGGGAGAAGAAAGACACTGAATCGGCTGCATTATATCACGCAGGGGAAGTAGCGTTTGTGTGGTGGAAGGTTGGATGCCTATAGAGGAGACTAAATGGATGTGCAGGAGAGAAGCACAAGCTGTGGAGTTTCTACGTGAACTTCACCTTAGAGATGATGCGTGGAAACTAAATACAACTGCTTAATGCATGGGTGCATTCAACAATGGTCATGTTTCTTAAATTTTATCGCCGTGGGTTTTCCATATTATATTGAATTAAAGTAATATGACACATTGGCTCCTCGAATTGTGGAATGGACATCGGTCCATACTAGCAGCATTCCAAAACTTTTACATGTTAGTAATGTGTGGTATACGACAGCGCTTCGTCTCATCATGTATTTAGAGAGAGCTAAAGACGTACAATTTTACTTTAAGCAAAATGCGCACCATTAATATACTAATCGTTATCGCCTTGGTTACTGCAACCGCAAATAAGCAATGGTTTTATCACAGCTCCTTTAACACAGGTGCCTTGTTATTCCCACCTTAAGCCATCTCCCTCCTTCCCACTACTCAAAAAGGCCCATTTCTCAAAGTAGCTGCCACAGGTAATAATTACATTTGCTTTAATCTGCAGCAAGCGGTTCAGCTTAACTAGAGTTCTTGCTTCTAGCATCTAACAAACACAAAGAAATGCTGTAAGTAAACGTATCGTCATGCAGTATTCTGTTACAGTAACTAAAGTGTTCCATGTTCTTGGTGCAGGTGGTGGTACCTCTCTTGACCGATAACGGCGTCACAGTGGCAGTCACCCTCTCAGACATTCCCATTACCACCGTCAAACAAGACGGAACA